ACACTTTTTATTTTTTAATAAATTTAAAAAATATAATAATTAATTAAGATAAAAATGTGTTATATTACTAATTAAGAATAGGATACTAACATCAACCAATGTTTTACCGTTAATTAAGAATTAAAGGTTGTGGAAACGGCACTGAAAATCGACTTGATGAGGATAACTTGAGCATGAAGTAATAATCAAGGCATTCCTCAAATGTACACCAAGCAAAACAAAGGAACCGACCTTTATTGTTTCCTTTTAAATCAATACTTTTCAGGTAGGCAAAGTTGTCATTTAAATTGCCGTTTAATTTTGTATTTTATTGGGGTTTTGGTTTATGTTTGCATTCGTTTGTGTGGTTGGTAATTAGCTCCCTTCGTTTTTACTTTACACGGTATGGGAACGGATGAATGGTTGTTGCAAAAATGGGGGTGAAGGTAGGAGATGGAGAAGGTGATCATAATGGCGAACGTTGTGACAAATGATGGTGTCGTACATGAGGTACAAGGTTAGATTGTGTTGAGTCACAAGATTTTATTGGGAACTTTAAAGAATTTATGAAACTCAATGACCCATGTGAGGTTTTAGTCTATATTGTCTTTGATGAATGTGTGTTTATGTTACAAGAACACGAGTACTCCTAAGTTAGTTTGAAGGCAGAGGATGGGAGAGAAAAATTTTAAAAGAACCAAAAAAAAAAAAAAAAAATCCAAAATCACTACACGACTCTAACAAAAAAATTTGTGAAAGCAATTTCAAACACATTCTTTGATTAGGTGAAACACAAGTGATTGTTGTCTATATTAAAGTGGGAGAAGTGGTGGTTCAAGATCTCACGATTTAGAGAGAGGGATAAGCATGTGGATCAGCGAAGACAAAAATCAAAATCTTGGACTTTGACACCCTGATTGTGATGCCATTGAGCACCAGATATCTTTATACATATGCATAAACAAAAAATTAAAGACAGCTAAGGAAGTACACCAAATTCGACAAATCACAAGTGGAAGTGGTATCTTCTGAGTACATAAATACATAAGGAAGGCTAACTTTGGCAGAC